TCTACTACTTCAACCACCCCCATGCACCTTTTTCCCGGTCTCCCGGGCTTCTTGGAATCGAGTTATGAATTTTCGTGATAACTCCGCCCACTTTGAACATGCTCCGCCCACTAATGGTATTTAAGCTCCACTCCTCCACCCACCTCTACCCTTGAATTTCCGTGCAACCCGCCCACTTTGGTCAAGCCCCGCCCACCGGTGATAGCTGGCCTCCACTCCTCCACCCACCTCCATCCACCTTTTCCCGGCCTCCGGGACTTCTTGGAGCCGAGTTATGAATTTTCGTCGCAAACTCCGCCCACTTTGGTCAAGCCCCGCCCACCGATGACAGCTGGCCTCCACTCCTCCACCCACCTCTATCCACCTTTTCCCGGCCCGAATTATGAGGACTTGTAGAAAATGCTGTACACTTCAGAGCGCGCCCCGCCCATTCTGGGCGGGCCTCCGCCCACGTCATGTATGCAGGAAACACCTTAGACATTGCTCCCTTACACCAAATTGTTTTCTGCTCTGTAGGCTTTCTCCCAACCGAGTTATGAAATTTTTCATAAAGCACTGCTTTTTTAGAGAACGCCCCGCCCACCGGGGGTGGGTCTCCCTAGTTCGATGTGACTCACCAATGTACACTGCGTTGCAAAAATATAAATCCACCTGGAAAGTTCTTGAAAATTCGCATGATAGGGTGTTTCTGAAAAAGCCTTTGAAAGAAAAATGTGCTCAATATAAATATAATTTCGAGTGTAAACACCAACTTCCATTTCGAAAACACGAAAATTTTTTATTTTCATTTTTCAGAAAAGGGCCACTTTGCCGATTGTGCAAAAATATAAATCCACCCCATGTTTCTCGGTTGAACTTCATTGTTATTTGGCGTAACTGTCAGGTTGTTTCCACTTCCTCTTTCTTAGGTGATGACGGAAGTAACACCGCTATCGGGAAAAAAAAAGGCGAAATCTGCAAAAGAGTGGGGAGATTTGCCATGCAGACAAACCGCGCGTGATTTGAGCCCCGCTTATGTGGTTGTTGAGCATTTCGTCAAGAATCCTGCAGCATGTGGAATCCAGAAGAGCACTGAACCCTTTTCTTCGCGTTTCGGTTGCGATGACCGTAGTGTTATGGGAAAAGCAGCCGATTCTCCCAAGGGGTGCTCAGGAACTCAACCTTCAAAAAAACCTAATTTCTTGAAAGTCACCGTTTGGCGTGTGTTAGAAGAACTCTGAGACCACTCTTCGACGGAAAATGAGTATGGCACAGTTGAAGACACAAAGCCATCCCAAAAATCAAGCCAACTCTTCCATAATGTGTGCATGCTGCGCCAGCTGCATTAAGTTCGGCTTTCTACACGCTACTTTTTACTGTCTGTCTGAATTTCTCTCAGTTTTTTTTTCTGCAGTGTGTTTGGCAGAGACAGGAACTCATATTGAAAAAGGAAACCAGTAAGAAAAGTGAAGACAGCCATCAAAAGGTACTGCGCGGCCAATATGGCCTCGCTCCGGCCAGATCGACCACTGATCTTGGGAAACTTGGCTTGATTTTTGCGATGATTCCGGATTTTTAAATGTGTCCTACTCATTTTCCGTTGAACAGTGGTCTCAGAGTTCCTCTAACACACGCCAAACGGTGTCTTTCAAGAAATTAGGTTTTTTTGAAGGTTGAGTTCCTGAGCACCCCTTGGGAGAATCGGCTGCTTTTCCCATAACACTACGGTCATCGCAACTGAAACGCGAAGAAAAGGGTTCAGTGCTCTTCTGGATTCCACATGCTGCAGGATTCTTGACGAAATGCTTAACAACCACATTAACGGGGCTCAAATCACGCGCGATTTGACTGCACGGCAAATCTCCCCACTCTTTTGCAGATTTCGCCTTTTTTCTGAGCCCGACAGCGGTGTTACTTCCGTCATCACCTAAGAAGAGGAAGTGGAAACAACCTGACAGTTACGCCAAATAACAATGAAGTTCAACCGAGAAACATGGGGTGGATTTATATTTTTGCACAATCGGCAAAGTGGAAAAATGAAAATAAAAAATTTTCGTGTTTTCGAAATGGAAGTTGGTGTTTACACTCGAAATTATATTTATATTGAGCACATTTTTCTTTCAAAGGCTTTTTCAGAAACACCCTATCATGCGAATTTTCAAGAACTTTCCAGGTGGATTTATATTTTTGCAACGCAGTGTACACCTTCACCCACTTTTTGGCCCAGTTTCGAGGCTGTTTTGTCACTGAAACTGAAATCATGGTCCTCAGTACCGTTCATTTCGATGCACGCCACGCCCACTGTGGGCGGGGCTCCGCTTAGCTGATGTGTGTTTTGTCGAGACCTTGCCCACCCATCCCACACTTGACCCGGTCTCTCCATAAGGAGCTAGGGAATTTTGTGACAGACAATACAGACAGACAGAAGAAGCGCTTTATACAGTGCGCGTCAATTGTATATGCCACCCCCTAATTTTTTCAGTTTTCTGACTTATTTGGAAATTTCGTAAATCGGCATAGCAACCATCGTTTTCGGCGTGTCGGAAAACTAGGGTACCCCCCAGGAGGCCCGTCGCGCGGCAAGAAGGCAAAGTCAGCGGACGAGTCGCGCGCGTACTATAGGGATTTCGCGTCAAGTTAAATAGAGTGTCCCATTGCACGTCCTACATCGCACATCACGCGCTGCAACTCGTCCGACGACTCTGCCTTCTTGCCGCGCGACGGGCCTCCTGGGGGTACCCAGAAAACTAGGAATGGTGTTGTTTGATTAACGCGTTGATTTGAGTTGCTCTGTTCTTTTGAAGAAAATGGGCCGCGTCAATTGCTTATGCCATCTTGAAGTTTCTCGCTTGACGCTCTTTCAGAAGAAGAGCAGTGTGCTCACTTGTGCGATCGCTCCTGCTGCTTATTGTAGAACTCATCGAGGAGTGTATCCAGGCAAAACTGGGGAAATTGAAGTGCTCAAGGAGCCTTAAATTCTCATTTTCCCGCTTCGAATCCGTGGTCAACTTTATTTGTGGTCTTGGCTCCCTGCGAAGCTCGAAGCGTTCACGCTCACAAAGTCTCTTTTAGAGAGAACATGACTCGTACCTACTACCCGTCTGGTACCCATCACTGAACTCGATCGAAGTTTTCTTATCAAGGCGATGCAATGATGGCCCATGCCACCACTTCGGTGTCCCGTTCAAGTTACAACTGGCCCATGTCATCATTTTCGCTCGCTCGGTACGAAAATTTTTCCAGAGAGAATCCGACAAAGTTCGGCGATGGGTACTACGCGGATTGTGAGTGCAACTCATATTCTCTCTGAACAGAGACTTTGTGAGCGTGAACGCTTCGAGCTTCGCGGGAGCCGAGACCACAAATAAAGTTGACCACGGATTCGAAGCGGGAAAATGAGAATTTAAGAGCTCCTTGAGCACTTCAATTTCCCCAGTTTTGCCTGGATACACTCCTCGATGAGTTCTACAATAAGCAGCAGGAGCGATCGCAAAAGTGAGCACACAGCTCTTTCTCTGATAAAGCGTTTTCATGCTGCTACCGTCCAGTATAAGGGCTAATATTCCGAACTAATTAGTTATATTAGGTTGTCCCATAATTAGTGAATCACTTTGGGTATTTTTCAATTCAAATTTTTTTCTTTTTCATATGAGTGCTTGCTCATCCAAACATACACCTCTGTCATCTACAAACTATTGCCTATACAGGGAATTTAGTCGCTGTCTTTTCTCTAGAATTCCAGGAGCTATTGATCAAAGAAGATCGGAAGTCGGGTTTGAGGTCATGTCACTTAGCGTAAAATTTCTTCCTGAAGAAGAGTGGTATAAGTCAGACTAGTTGTCTTTGCTGATACGAGGATAGGGCTACACGGTGGAGCTGGAAGAACTGCTAGCCTGAAGTCTCCAATTTTTTATGAATATTCTCCGCAAGGTGGGGTCGAACGACCTCAGGAAAAAAGCAGACTTTGTCTTGCTTTACTTTCAGATTGAACGCGTCGCCATTATGCTGTCGACGTTTGCCTTCTTCACTGACCCTAGTATTACTGGGCGGCGGTTCCCAGCGCAAGGTCCTTTCGTGCTCCACCAACATCTCAGAAGTGTCGGACATACAGGTCCGACAGAGGTTGGGCTTTTGCTGTCAGAACTCCCGAATCTTTTAAGCTAGGCTACTGCTCCTTGTGGATTTGCTAGTACACTTCACCCACTTCACAACACTGGTGAATTCGCATGATGATTGTTGAAAGGAATTCTGGGAAACCAGAGGGAACAAGGCGATTAGGCAACATTGAATGGGCTGACTAATTGCTCAAGTAAGACATTGTGGGTACTACTTGGCAAAACATGTTTCACGCCTTCAAGATTTTTCTTGGAATTTATAGCAATAAATGTAAAGTGATTCACTAATTATGGGACAACCTAATAAATGCTCCACCATTTGTGTGCATTGCATAAGTGGAGGATTTCCTCATTTGTATTACATGCACACCGTAGCTGAATAGCGTTAGAGACATGAGAAATTCTGAAGAAACTTTAGGATGGCATAAGCAATTGACGCGGCCCATTTTCTTCAAAAGAACAGAGCAATTCAAATCCACGCGTTAACCAAAATCAAACAACACCATTCTTAGTTTTCCGACACGCCGAAAACGATGGTTGCTATGCCGATTTACGAAATTTCCAAATAAGTCAGAAAACTGAAAAAATCAGGGGGTGGCATATACAATTGACGCGCACTGTAGCAAGTAGGATACTCAGCAATGCTATACGAGGAACCAGACCTCGCGAACTCCTGATCAAAGCCTTAACATAAGCTAGAGATTTAACCTAACTTGTTCTAAGAGAATTTTTCTGCACTACCCCGAGAGGATAACTATCTCCTATTCAAATTTATGAAATTTTCGCCATTTTCAAAACGTCCTGAACCACTCGAAACATTCAAGTAGGGAAACAAAGTTGCAAGTGGCAAGCAAGTCGATAGCAATCTTTATTCTACAGCGAACAAAATGGCATGCAGGAAATAATCTAAAAAGGAATAAAGTGCAAATACCAGATCGAGCTCTTCTCCGTTTTATGTGAGTGCTCAGTCCAATGACCCTGAAACAAACTGGAATCACCTCACAACTACTCATAACTCCAGCCTAATGTCAACGGCTACAATTACCAATGCTTATCAAAGGGACTTATGCACAAGTTTACGCTACAACTAACCGTGAGATAAAGATCCTGATTGTACAATTATTAAAGCACAGTTCAGCAAATGTTACTTATTTCACCATGAAACTAACTTCATAACTCGAAATCCATGGTAGTAATGGAGAAATACAGAATTCTCGATTGCAACGGAGCTCGACGTGGAATTAGAGAGGAATCAGAAGGCAACCGTTACGGCACTGATTTTTGAATAAAAATAAATGGACTAACCTCATTGGGACTAACCTTGACAAACAAAGAGATGAGATTGAAATACCGAAACGGAATGAAGAGCGTGAAGATGTCAGCGGCGCTTAAAATAATACTGTTTTCAAAACGAAGGTAAGAAGTGAGACTTATACGGCATCGCCAAGGCATCACGTATATTTTGCAAGCTTTGAAACGCTTTGTAACACAATGAGTTCCAAGAAAGGGACACGCGGCTGAAGGCGCGCCCACCGATGCGAAACAAAAACGAACATATGGGAAAATGCACTTAGAAGATAGTTCGCGCGTGGAATTTTGGAAGATTTACAACTGCGCCTTCACATCAATACACACGGTGTACCCCGTCTAGCTCTTTCTCATGTGGAAATTACACCTTATATACTTCCGCGTGTTCCTTGCTAACTTCCTAACGCTCATTACAGGGGGTATTCACCGCCTCAATGTAATCCGCTCGTATGTTGCACCGGAAAGAAGAATCGAAGAATTCACTGACAAAGACCCTTGAAATATTGAGTGATGAAATCTTCCTTGCTCTTCACTTCTTGGCATATTGCGACCCTTCCAGAACACAATGAGGAAAGAATCATTCAAGTAAAAACACAATACGCATTTCATTTTACACACAATGCCCGATTCTCCATCCGAGGCGAGCCATGATTGTCGATAAAAAGAACAACCCCAAATGAATTTAATGGGGTAATAGCGCTTGAGAATGATTGAGAACAAACTGTGGTTACTGATTAAAAAAAGCAAAACAAACTGCTGATGAGCCCTCCAAACAAAGACTCCCACTCTTGCCTCTTGAAATAAAGGAGGGCGGTCCGCACGAGTTGTATGGTTTGCTGCTCCATGGCTCCACTAACCCGCATATTTGGATTAGCCGCTACGATGTAATGCACGTTACGTGTCATGGGGTGTGCGCAGGTATCTCGACCATTAGCTCCCATCACGGTGAATACCGGTCGAGAATTTGTCAGCGACTCGTCGAGGATTTTCGCCTGTTCATCACGCTCTCCCGCGCGGACATTCACTCTCGCCACGCGCGAGCCGTCTGTGCTCTCCGCGCGTACATTCACTCTCGACACTACTCTCGCACAGTACAGAGCATGGTCGAGGATTTCCTCGACCGTTATTCACCCCGGCTCCCACTAGCGAACATTAGCTCTCGCTTTAGGCCCTAGCGCCATTACCGCCCACTTGAGTCACGGCAACGCCACAGATGAGATATTATAGCGACAACCTCATTTGGAGTTGTTGCTTTAACACATTGAAGACAGCCGTTCAATGCGCGCATACTCACTTTTTTTGCAGAATTTTTCACCACTAATGATTACTTCACCAATAACTTATACATTAATAAAAAGCGTACTATTTCCTGCAGCCGAAAATGCACATGAAGCACCCTGAAAGGTGAAAATGGAGGCAAAGATTGAACAGAAGCCTCATCCGTGCGGAAGTGCAGGATATATGTATCCCGCGCTGTCGTCAATGTGTTAAAAGAAGTGCCTGAGGCAACAGAATGACCAACCCTTCGCTCACGTGACCGGCTTCTTTCGCGGCGATCCCGTCGATCAGATCCTCGTCGATCATCGCCACGTCGATCCCTTCCATCACGATCGCGACTTCGCGAGCGGCGGGAACTAAAAGCTTCTGGGTATGAGTGAGAGCGGTTACAGTGGAAACTACGCCTTACATCTTTGACCCACCTCTTTCTGTCTCTATCTCGGCTACGGTCCCTTCGTGTTTCTCGCTCCTTACGATCTCTATCCCGTTCGCGATCTCTGTCGCGGTCATCACGTTTTCTCTCCGTCTTATCATCTTTGTCTTTCCCTCTTTCTTTCTCTAATTGAATTCTTTTTTCTTCCTTGGCTTTGACCATCAAGTCGATTTGCTCCTTGATTCTTGTATAGGCGATGTGCAGCTTCCCACTCAGGTGATCATCGATACGGCTTTGGGCATCATTTGTGAGCATAAAACAACCGCAAACCTGAAAATGTAAACTAGAATATGCAACGAATGGGGGTTTTCCTTGCTCTCCATTTACGGAATTGCGATTTTTTTGCAACCGTTTCTTTAAGTGTTAACTCCTGCTATTGAAATGCACAGGAATTGTTTTGTGCCGCTGTGTTATCTGTTTTAATGGGTTACTATATTCTGAATGGAAAATCATTGGAACTATGTGTCTCCACAAATTTGATGACGAAAGAGAATTATATCACGGACGAATTGTCTGACATTGCGTACCTGAGCAATAGAGAATACCTACCCGAATCCACAGGTCGCCCTTGATTACTGCAGCGCAACCTCTTGACCTAGTCGAACCCAGAGTGTGGTAGGAAATCTGCTGAGCCTGTTCCCTAATCCGGTAATAAACAGTCCTGACGAGGTAAGAATGATGGGTCGAAGTTACTTTAAAGGAGGATTGCACGGAAAGAACGAAGGTCGAAGAAGGGAGAAATCGCCTAGTGGGGAGAGCGGTGAATCTCTTGAGGGTGCGGACAGACACGCAATCGGCATCGAAAGATTTGACCTCTGAGATCTAGCATGGCTCAAAGTTGGCGAGTTCGGCGATCTCCGCCCACCGATCATCTGATCACTCGCCGTAGTCAATACGTGGCGAGTGATTAGATAGCTGAGAGAGCGTAGTGTTGAAGAGGGCACAGCGATGAGAGTCGCATCAATGCTCAAATCAACGGGCAAGGAAGGGGTCCCATTTCTCGGGTTCTGGGCCGTTTCTCATGGTTTCGCTTTCTTTCGTGTACTACTCACCATCTCTACCTCAATTTGGAATGGGTTGCTTTTCCATCGTAAATTCGTCCTTTAAATGAAATATACAACATGTGATTCAGACGCTTAATGCACAACTTGCCTTACACATGTGAACAAACCATGCTGCAAAGAAAACTGCGAATGTTTCCTCGTGGGTTTCGCCATATCAGTGATGAGAGGATGCATATCAATCATGAACGCTGGTTAGTCGGTGTGGTGAGGTCGAACGGCGCACAGGATGGCATGTGGAAAGGCGCTAAGGGATCGCGAGCACACCAGGAAGTGCGCTGCCAATAACGGCGGGCCGTGCCCAAGCATGTTAGACCACCTAATTTGCTAAAACACGCAACTAGAGGTGATATAGTATGCTGAGGACGAATATAACAATTTCTTTGAGAAACATCGCGGCTGATTTCCGCAAAGAAACCGCTCCGAGAGTAAGCGATTATGGCCGTGCAATTGAGCTGGAGCGACGAGAACCTATTGAAGCTCTTTGGCATGCGAAAGGAACTAATAGAGCGTCATTGCTGGCGACTGCTCAACACCCCATGAACGACGGGACGACAGGTGATACAGGCGATATAAATAAATGAAATACAGAAAGAATTCACACTGAAACCATCGGAAGCAGTAAGCCACCGACTTGCGTCAGGATGATTTGTTTGTTCGATATATAATAGGATTTGAATCTATTTGATTTTTTGAACAACTTTCGGGGTCTTATACTGTTGCTGAGCTTGTACATATTGTTTCGTGAACGGCTTTCAACACATTCGCGCCGACGGCAGCCCATATGGCCTGCCAAGGAAAGTTGCTCACGGGACGATGGCGGTCTATACGATCGTTGCCAGCTAATAATCGCTTGCTTGTCGCTTGTACCGTAATTTCATGGGTACTTATGATATTAGCGAATTAAAGACTAATACGTAATTATAAACGACAAGTTTCACCGAAAGATTTCATATCCAAGTTTCAGAAAAGTTTTCCTGAGCCATATGAAGTTTTGGTGCGATTAATTTATCTTTTTTTTATTGCCATAAACATGTGAATAAAAAGAGTACTAAAAGTAGAGACAACAATATTTATAAGGAATACAATAGAGTTAAAAATGCTTCCAACTTCCACTTATGCGAAAGTGAATAAATAAGTGTTGCCTTTCACTCCCATTACTCGTTTTTTGATCGAAATTTTACTATCACATCTTTAGGTAAGCTGTACGCGTTGAAATTGCTGAGATATTATACTTTAGTACTACATTCACGATTTTGTCCATTTACAAAACAAAATCCACGGATGTGAGGTGAAGCGGCGGTCACAAAATCGCGACCGGAAAGCGAAAAAGGGAGCCATTGTGAATATGCTAGATCAAAGCGATGAAGGAAATTATTAGATGAAAAGTCATAGGACGTCTTATACACCAAAAACCACGAACCTGGCACACTTGCATTTGTTTATTCCCAGCTGTTAACTGGTCTTCCATAACAATCGCTCTTTGCCTTTCAACTTCCAAAACCTCTTCCTCCTTGTGTAGCGCTTCGCGCTCTTTCTGAAAGTAAGGCATGAAATTAACAAACCATGAAGAGGAGACAATTCATGAAGACTATGAAGAGGCTAATAAGAAAAGTTCTATAGTGATTCATGACTTACAGTAAGCTCATCTGCTTTTTGCACGGCAGTCTGCGCGGCAGCAACATTACCTTGTGCACCTTCGATCTGAGAACAAGAAATTCGTCAAAATGCACCACGTAGATTCTTAAGAACAACAAACAACACCCACTTGTATAGGAATGGAAAACTTCGAAGGTATGTAACTGCTTCAGGATAATATGCGTTCAATTATGTTAAACCAGTTGCTATGCTAAGGTGAGCTTGAATTTGAAGATTTCTTAACGAATCGTCCATATAAGAATATGCCATCCTTTATGAAAGGTGGATCTCCTAACTATCGCTCGCAACCGCGGCTCAGCTATATTGATTTTTCCCTGCTCCCGAAGAAGACTACAAACTTTTAATTACTGTAAAACCCCTTTAAGCGCGTGGACCACATAACGGTGAGTGGCGATAAACGAAGTGTCGCAAGAAAAATTGCAAATGCGACCTTCCCCCATCGACTAGAGTCGCCAGCACAACCCTTTTGCAGATGGGCTGGACATGAGGTAGGATTGTTGCTGTAACGTGTACGTCGACCTTAGCGGGCATTACAGAAGGTAGAAACCGTGACCATTTCCGAAAAGCCATAATCTCCCTCAAAGCGAACAAACCACAGACAGAAAATTTAGAAAGATTTCTACTTGAACCATCCAAAGGGTTGAACTCATGCAAATAATGGGAAATCTCTTAACCGCACGGGTCGGGATCGACTGTATTTAATTTTGTTTAAAAATTGGTCAGGAAGAGCGATGATGAACGTGAGCGGGGAGAACAAGCACTATAGACACTGAAACTTTCTCTGTGGGATTGGCCGTGGTATGACGAAGAAACAGCGCTATGAGCAGAGAAAAGCACGAGAGAGCACGATGTACGCAAGAGGACGCAAGCGCCACGTAAACCGCGATTGATAGAGTGCCAGCGCCGGCAGCACATGAGGCAGCCCTTAGGACGTTTGTCGCGCCATTCTAGGTCGCAGAAGTTTCGCGGCTCCTGGGCTTGGGGACCTCTTTTTCTCTGGTTAAGGAACTACCTCTTGACATATGATGCTGACCCAAGGCTTTAAGGCATTAGCAAAGACAAATTTGGGATATGCGACTTTTCACAGGAGCAATACGTTCTTACGAATGCATACAATCGAGAAAAGAGGTAGGGTGGCTTATGTTTGTGAAGTTAATGCGAAAAATTGCATTTCCTTCTCTATGGTAAACCCCACCATGCCATTTCATAGAGCTTGCGGAAGCTTATTTGTGCCTTCCAAAACCACAGCAGCACCGCATATATAGTTATTATCAGAGAAGCGCCAAGGGCTCAAGGTGAAGCGAGATTAAGCGCGAGCCACAATTCCCATCTCCTTTCGAACAGACTATCGCTTTCTTGTTCACTGCTGATCCCAGCACTTGTACCCCCTTCGTCCCACCGGTCCAATTTGAGGTGCTCGTCAAGAGCTCCTCGGCGACGCTTGACCCTGGTTTGATTATACAACTGTTTTCATAGTTCCTGGTGTAATTATAGATATTAATATAATTATATTATACTTATTATGATTTTCTCTCCAGTTTCACAACTTTGTAACAATCAACAAAACTGGCAGAAATTGCGAAGAAAATAGCTGGCAGTTATACATGAAGTGATATTACCTCGGCCTCCTCCATTAGACCTTCAATGCGTCTGCCCAGCATTTCCCGCTTTTCGATCAAGTCTTTCTTTTTCTTATCATAAACTTCCGCCGAAACGTGAGTGTCAGCTGAAAATTGTACATACGTGCAACCTTAGGCCTATATTCGGATCAATCTCGAGCCTGGTCGAGCACTAATTTCCGCTAGATAAGCTCGCGCCGATTTCACGTAAAAACACCTCCGCTCGTGCAGTGTAATTTTGTACACCTTAGAAACTACCGCAAATTTGCCTATAGAGGTAATTCGATGCCCTGAAAATGACTTTCATTTTTAGCGCTGGCGCCATCTGGCGCCAGTTGGCGTCACCTTGTCACGACACTTGTTTTCACCAAATTTGGTGTAAACTTTCGTAGGGGTTATTTGGTGTCCTGATTACGAATATGACATTCATTCTCGGCCCTGGGGCTATTTGGCGAATATTTTCTGCGGTCACGTTTAACAAACGCGTGAGAGTCCAGACAGGAAAGCACATACTTTCTGCTCCTCTAGGACTGAGCCTTCTGAAGGAAGGAAAGAAAGCAGAGACGCTGTCATAGTGTGCATATGCGAGTGCCCAAAGAATCCTACAATCACCAAGCCTTACGATTGACCGCTGCCCTTGGACGATTTCTGCTCGTCTGCGCTCTCCGACCGAGATATGCGTTGAACAACGTTAATGCCAAAAACGAATGTCATATTCGTAATCAGGGCACCAAATAACCCCTATACAGAAGTTTACACCGATTTTGGTGAAAACAAGGGTCGTGACAAGGTGACGCCAACTGGCGCCAGATGGCGCCACCGCTAAAAATGAATGTCGTTTTCGTAATCAGCATATCGAATTACCCCTATGGGCAAGTTACGGTTGTCTCTAGATGTACGCAAGTGCACTGCACCAGCGGAGGTGTTTTTACAGATATCGGCCGGCTTATCTACTGGAAATTAGGGTAGTTACTCAGAAAGGCTAAGATCTCTGTTCTAACTAGCATCGCATCTCACCTCTTGTGTGAACCAGTCGAGCTTCGTTCTTCTCAATTTTTCTTCTAACTTCATTGTGCATACGATTGAGCTAAACATACATTAACGGACCGAAATTTTAATAATGTCCCGTTAAAACTTGGTTCTACAAGAGCACCTGAGGAACAAGAAAAAATGAAACTAATAAAAAGGTTTCCGTAGGAGCAATTGATTGCTCAGCACTTGCTAAAGCCGAAAAAAGAATGCCAGGAGAAATGAAAAAATCTAATGCCAACATCCTCAATTTGTTTCTACTGAAAAACTATGGGGAATCACAGGCACCTCTTCCGGCTGGGGGTGAGGGTCTTCTCCCTCAAAAAGAAGCGCATTGTGGACGAGTTTATTGCTGTCGAAAAAACAATTCCTTCAAACGGGATACGGCTACACACTACATATTACGCCACGCACGCACCTGCAGTTGCAATAACAATGGACTCCTCCATGCCACTAGTTTCTGTAATGAACGACACGCACCCTCAATTTTGGCAAACTAATAAGAATGGTGGAAACAACCGTTCACGCTCTGGCAAGCACGGCAGAAGCTTGTAAAAACTTGCTATCGCTTATGCCTGCGAAAACAGTGCCTGTTTCGGATCTAGACCGCCCACAGAGATTGCGAATGCGTTCAAAGCGTTGAAGGATGAAAGGATGTGATTTGAAAGGATAGAGCGGAGACATGGAAAGGGGCGAGCGAGATGATAGCGAATCAAGTAATTCTGCTTCAGGCAGTGAACTTGCAAGCTGACATGAACACCTCCGCTACAACGGATGAGGTACACAACTGCTAAGTTGGATTCCATCCGAAATTGAATAATTACAAGATTGATAAGATTTTTTGCTTACAATTCACCTACCCTTTCAAAATATTTCTCCTCATAACCAAGCCGACCGAAGCGGTTGCTTTCCTGATAGCGTTTCTTCAAAGCTTCGTCATGAATAGGCTAAACAAAAGAGTAATGAAGAACTTACAAAATACTCGAGCAAAATAAAACAAAAGACTCTTACGAATGGACAGAACCCAAGGTCGTTTTTTGTGTTTCGAAATGCTTCCGCAAGACAGAATCCAACAAGAAAATCCCTGCATACATCAGGATGATCGAAATCAATAGCGGCGCTCTAAAATATCCTATCTAAATGATCAAAAAATTCTCATTCATTATATACGAACAATAGAGATAGCCAAGAAATATAGATCAGGAAACTATGGACTTCATAAAATGGACACGTACAATTACACTATGAATGATTCAGGGCCCACGCTAATATCTGCGGTCACACGCTCAGTAATGGAAACGGATGATGTGATACGATAATGGAAACGGATGAGATGAAGTGAAGGAAAAAAAAAAACGTGAAAACCCTGAATGGTTCCAAGTTCCTAGGTTACGGGAGATTAGGAGGCAGCAAACGCGAGGGGGTAGTGGAAGCTGAGCAGACAGGCAGTATTGAGTTCTCACACCTTTGATGTAGTTGATGAAGTAGATGTGGTCTAGCATTGGAACGTAGTTTTTC